CCCCCCGTGTGTGTGTGTGTGTGTGTGTGTGTGTGTGTGTGTGTGTGTGTGTGTGTGTGTGTGTCCCAAATCCCTTCTTTCTATAAGGACACTATTTCAGTACCATCTCAAATCACCTTTCTCAGTTGTTTATTGTTTATCTGAAATTCACATTTAACTTGGTGCCCTTTCCTTTGTATGCTAAATCTAGTAGCTCTTGTCTGGGTGTTGAATGTCTGCATTTTGATTCAGGTACTGCATTCAGTTAGCCATTGGACATTCAAGATTCAGCACACAGGAGAAACTCCTTAGTCTAATTACTTCCCCTTCAATCTTGCCGTTCTCACTGACACTGAATTCAAGGGTAGTGACTGCACTTTATAGCACATTTGCTTCCACCCTCTTCCAGTTTTCATCATTTCTATCGGGAAGTCAGCTTGTGGGGCTAGGATGATCACTCTGAACTAAGAGGTGTTTGCAGCATAAGTGCGTGGACCTGAGTTCAATCCCAGCACCTGCATAAAAGCCAGGTGAAGCATTGTATGCTTGTAATCTCAACACTGGGGAGGCAGAGACAGGAAGGTCTCTGAGGCTAATGGCTAGCTAGTCAATTTAGCTGAATTGATGAGCTCCAGATTCAGTGACAGACACTGTATTTAAAAAATGGGAAGAGAGTGAACAGACACCAGCATCAGCCTTAGGCTCCCACACTCATATGTGCACACATGCATGTGCATTAAGTGTACACACACACACACACACACACACACACACACAGAGAGAGAGAGAGAGAGAGAGAGAGAGAGAGAGAGAGAGAGAGAGAGAGAGAGAGAGAGAGAGAATCAGCTCAGTATCTTCTGAGGACACTTACATTTTTGTTTTTATACTTGTCTTTGGATTTTAATACTTTATTATGGTATATCTAAACCTAATATTTCTTTTCATACAACAGACTTCTTGATCTATATACTCTTTGTTGGCTTCCTTTTAATCAGCGCTGGGAAATTATCAGTTCGTTTTAAACTGTCTGTTTCCCATCCTGCCTCTTTCCCTGGGTCTCTCCCGCATCTTAGATATTTTCACTCTATGTGCCATGCCACTGAACTAATATGTTTTTTCACACTTACTTTCTTCATGATATTCTATGCTGAAAGCAACATGCTCTCTATTCTTATTTTCTGAATCCTCTTTCAGCTCCTGGCTTTTGGAAAATATTTTTAATTCTTTCATTGAGAAATAACTAATAAACCATTAACTCTAACCAATAGCAAGTGTATATTTAATGGTTTTATTGTGCATCTATCCCGGTGATCCCAGTTTTAAATTACTGTCCTTCCAAAAATATCCATGATACAGTTAGTAGGGATTGGAGTAATTTTTATCAATTAATTTTCAGTTATTCTTGCCTTCTGAAATGAAGCCACACCCTTGGTTCTCATAGCATAGGTCCACTCACCGGTTGTCTTTGGGCTCTTTCTAGATCTGTTGGTCATTTAAATAGCAATGACAAGGGATAGGTTGACTTGTTCATATGATTACCAATGACAATGACAATTTGTGTAGTGCCTGCAGTGCACTGCAATCTGTGATATGTTTTGTATTCATTCCCTGAACTTAAGAAATCCTGAAGTCTTGCTCATCTCTAAGGTACAAAGATTTTGTTTCTAAGAGCTT